ATTGAGCTTAAAAATTAATCTTAAAGTTTATCTTTAAATGTTATCTAATCTAGTAATTAGAACTTCATTAGGGTTTCTATTATGATACAAAATATTGGAAGAAGATAGCCTTTCTGACTTGAACTTAATGTGATCTTTACAGAACAGCCCCATGGGAAGTTTTTAGACAACTAACTGGAACCAAGCAGACTTTAAACAGGTGAACATTTTATTTTACAGGGAAAAGTGAAATATGGAAAAATCTTCTTCTCTAATTACATTTCTAGTTCTGCTATTCTACACCTAGTGCACTGTTTGTTAGTACTATTGCAATTGAAAATGGTTTACTTATTTCCATCTTGAAACAAAAATGTTTCTACGCTGAGGGTGGAGAAGAATGGTAAATTGAAGAAAAAGAGAATTGTGTTAAAGTATTGAAAAATGTATAAATGAGCACAAAGGAGCATATCCCAATATCTTGAGATCTTAGCTCCAAGTGGCAAAACACAGAGCACATTTGTCAGTTTTATGTCCTATCTGCATATATATATGTGTATATATACGTATCCATTGTATCCAGTAAAACTCATGCAGACAACCTTGTTTCCACATCAAACTTAATAAAGTAAGAAGTTCACAGAAGCCCTAAGTCTGCAAACTTTGGTGTTAGCTGAGGTTTGGAACATTTCTACTAACAGTCCATTTGGATAAAGAACATTAACTGCATATAGTAAAAGATGATATGCTTAATATGGTTAAAGTAATAATTTATTTTCTTGCACTAGAGAAAAGAAGGTATATACTTGTCATAGCATACAAGACACAGTAACTAAAAATGTCCATAGGGTAAATGCTGAAGATAACTGATAAGCAAAAAAAAAAAAAATCCTCCTTACAGATAAAGTGACTGAAGCCAAATGGGTCTTTCCTACATAAGTTATTTTTAATGATTCTTTACCTACTTCAAACAGGAACCAGACAATCTGCCATGGAGCATCCGAAGAGACTGTCTTTGTGAATAGAATGAGCATGCTGTTGGTTTCACCTGTCATCTTTAAATTGCAATGAATCTACTTACTGTGGTGTAAATTTATGCAGCTATCTCTCTCCTGATATTAAAGTCCATAATCTTATATGCCTATTACTTAGCAGAAAATGAGCTTTAATTCATTAAAATAGTCTCTGTACTTACAGAATTACCAAGCTTTGATCTCAGATATTTCCTTCAGATTAGCCTACAGGTCCTTTTTAATAGACATTTGTAGCTTCTATTGCCATGAAATACTGTTCTGATTAGTAAGAATTTTACATTAAGTTTTAAATTATTCTCTTTATCTGTACATGTTTCAGGGAGAGTCAGCAATCACCGGAACAATGGCAGAAAATGTATGGCAGATGCTCTGGTAATGAAGTATATCATATTAACCTGGAAGAAAGTACTTTTTTTGCTGAGTATGAGGGGAAAAGCTTCACATATGCTTCTTTCCATGCACATAAGAAGTATGTTTATGTTCCTATCAACAATTAAAAGTTCAAACAAATAATTATTTGTTTTGCCTGCAACGTAGCTCTGCATTCAAAGGTGCAGTATTACACATTATTCTGTTTCTAGGTTTAAATATCTGGCCACTAATATTTCACGGATATTCTTCTGTAAGTTACAGCTGGTCAGGTAAAAGTTCATGTTGGTTCTGTATAGGCCAGCTCAGTTCAAGAGAACAGAATATAAAGGATATATAGGATAAACCTGACAAACAGAAAAAAATTGTACCTTAGATTATATGAGAACACCAGTCCCTTTTCATGTCCAAAACAATCTAGAAATGGGTGGGCAGGCGGGTGTTAGGGTATTTATTTTTTTTATTTATTTAGGAGTCAGCTGGAAATCTGGCTTCCTTTGTGGTGTGTTCATTCTATGCAAAATGTTCAATTTAAAGGTGGTACATGCTGAATTCTGGTGATTGTTCAAAATAAAACCATATTTTTTCTGTTTGATGCTAACATATCTTCTTCAGGTTCCAGATCACGTATCACTTATTCAGTGCTGCTCCGAGGTGAACGTACATACTGAACAAAAATCATGTATATTTGAATATATTTAACAAAATGAACATCTATCAAACCCTGAACACTGAGTTTATTCTCATACTTAATAAGAGAGAGAAAGATTTTTTTTTCTTTAATTCCTTATTTTCTATCACTAATGAAACATTTCTAGGAGTGAATCGCAAAAATCAGTTCTGAAAATGGTTTCCATTACATATGAATAATGGAACAATTTAACATGATGAATACTTTTTAATATTATATATCCATTCTTCTACTAATATTTTCCCAGAAGGGACTATTAATCTGATAGAAAAAAAAAAATCAACTGGAACAGCATGAGAATGGGGATTAAGAAAACCGCTAGATTCAAATGCCTAGGGATTCATGAGCGCATAAAGAGTGTTTGATCAGAAGTGGCCTATTTAGGAGATAACATTCTTCAAACATATTTGTCATCTAAAAATCTGCAAGTGTTCATAATCTGCAAAATATAAAATTATACTGGAGGTTCATTTTTGACAGTGGAAGTTCTAGTATATACGAGACTACGCAAAATGAACCATGCCTTTCCTTTTCTAATTAAGGTTTGGAGTCTGTCTGATTGGTGTTAGAAAGGAAGATAACAAAAACATTTTGCTGAATCCAGGTCCTCGATATATCATGAGTTCTACAGATATATGCTTTCAGATAAATATCACCAAAGAAGAAAATTCTGCTTTTAAGAAGCAAGAAAAGCATAGAAAAAAACATGAATCAAAATTATCTTATCATGGAGCTTCTAGGTTACCCGTACACAGTATAATAGCCAGCATGGGTAAAAAAAACACAGGTGGAGAAAAAAAAAAAAAAAAAAAAAAAAACCCCCACCACAGAACAAACCTCGCAACCTATTCTTATTCAATGAATAGTGCATTTTAAAGCTTTTAGTAGTATATTCCTAAAATTATAATTTAAATTAATATATAAGAAATTATAATAGTGTGCAGAAAGAAAAAATATTAGACACTTGCCCTTGTATTTTCTAAAAAAAACCCACACACCACAGAATTTGGTTATGTTTTTCTTTGACTTGACAGTATGGAATTAAACCGCTTAAGACCGTTGTATAAAAAAGTAATAATAAAATGTATGCAAAGCGAAACAACTGGGAAAATCACATGGGTAATTTCTTTGTCATTTATAACTGGTTGTTTGTAATAAGTTTTCATAAGCTTCTTTAATTAAAAAAATGCCTTTGCTCAATAAAAACCTACAGGTTGTTGATGCATATAAACATGGATTAGTTACATAAGGTATGGTTTTAAAAATGTAGTTAACAAGAAAATATATATTAATGGTCAGAGAAAGTGTTACTTTGCACGAAAAGGCTTGCTCAGGTATAGTTTAAATATTTGTTATATTTTAATGTAATAAACACAATCAATATAGTATTCCTTTCAGTCTTTGGCCTTGTAGTCAGGTAATCCCCCCTTAATATGGGAATCTCATTCAAGTGTTTTGACAACCACATTGAGAAAATGCTTTCAACGCTACTTCAGGGACAGTGGCTATCGATTTACAAGATACAGGATGCCGAACATCCAGCGGGCCTACACTAGCTCTTCCTTCCGAGGGAGGTAAAGAGGGCAGACGGCCCAGTATAGCACCTGTTTTGGAGGTTGCAGATTCATCCTCACTTCAGACGTGTGACCTGCTAAGTGACCAGTCAGAAGATGAAACCACCCCATCAGATGATGAAGTCTCTGCAGGATTAGAGTATGTATATTAAATATAAAATAAGCAACATAATTTGAAAAGCTAATCTTATGTAAATGGCGTGGGTAATTTTTTTGACATGCAGATCAGTCCAAGTAGTTGTAGCAAGCAAGACCCATAAAGGTCAATTATGGAATTATTCCCTTTTATGAAATTCTATTGTCTGTTAGCAGAATGCTGTTATGCCTGTTTTGAAGTTAAAAAAAACAGATTAACTCCTCCATTTGCTGGAGATTTTCTATACTCACTTATAAAGATCTAGTTGTGTATTGCAATTTTTTAAATAGCATCTTTTATGACCATTTTTCTTACATTCTATAGTTATAAAGACAGGACTCAGCTAATTTGTAAGCCGATAAGTACTTCTGTCCTGATGATGCAGTGATAATCAGATCATTCAACAAGCTAGTTGAACGCTGGGGCTAGGTGTCTGACTTCAAAATGTAGGAATGACAAAAAAAAAGCAGTATGAGACAAAGGTATTACATCTAATTTAAAATGCTTGTTAGCACGTTACTGAAAGTAATGATGCATTACTCAGATAAAAACAGAGGATTCAATCCTGTAACTGCCATGCAGATAAGCAATTATGTTTATTGGGATTACTGACAGGGATGTTAAAACCGAAATACACAATTAAGCCAGTGGCTCACCTAGCACAGTTTCCCATCTCCAACAGTGGCAAGCATGAGAAGCCCCAGAGAAGATCATAAAGTGCCAATGAAAAAAATGATAGAACAAATCATCTTAAATCTGCAGACTGAAATACCAGGATTTAAAAGGCCTCTTATTAAAAATTAAGGCCAATTAGAAATTTCATCTCATCAGCAAGAGGATTTGCCATTTAAAGTTTATTTCAACCATGTTGAGAGTATGGAGGTACTTACCTTCTTGCTTTAATAACAAAGATGCCTATACAAAAAAACCCCAAGCAAAATTCCTTTAGTCCACAAAAGCATGATAGCTTTCACTAAATGGTATTGAATTGGTCAAAGCTACAAAATATATTCCTTTGATCCTTGTTAAACATCGTGCATTTCATGTACTTGACTCTGCTAATCTACAGCTAACTGCAAAGCTTAGACACAGATATAAATATCCCATAAAATAGTTGTATAGGCAACTGTGTTTCAGTAATTTGCTATACTGAAAAATGTTTGTTCTATTCTCCTAGGTATGCCAAAGGCTATCCTCCTTACTCTCCATATATCGGAAGCTCTCCCACATTTTGTCATCTTCTGCGTGAAAAAGTACCCTTCTGTTGTCTAAGACTAGACAAGGTAAAGGGAGTTTCTGTTACTGGATAAAGCTACATTCTCATTTGTCTCTTGCATCTGAACAGAGTTAAATTCTGGTTTCTGCTTAGAGATGAGGTTTGTTCAGCATTTACTAAGCTATAATATGTTTTCTCATCCTTTTCATCACCAATCATTTGTTTATGTCTAATCAGGTCTATATCAGGTCATCTGATACAATTTTCTATTTCTAATGGTAAAACCCTTTAATGTCACAGCTAAATCTCTTTATTCATATTCACTGAACTTGTTTCTTATTTTAATTTTAGGGATGCCAACATAACTACTATGAAGACGCCAAAGCCTATGGATTCAAAAATAAATTGATTATAGTTGCAGCAGAAACTGCTGGAAATGGCTTATATAACTTTATTGTTCCACTAAGAGCTTATTACCGACCAAAGAAAGAACTAAATCCCATTGTATTACTCCTGGATAACCCGTAAGTAGATTTTAATTTTTTTTTTTTTGTGATACATTTTAAACTCATTTTACCGTTACTTCAATAGATGATCACTTTTCACATGGCTAACTTAAAATCAAAAACATTATGGCACATTTATCTTTAAGAAAAGTTGGTGGCAAAAGTAATACCGTATGTTCACTGTCATATACAAAATTGACATTTTACTGACTGTAAATGGCCATAGTGAATTTAAATGTCCTTACTCTTCATGGCCAATGTTTCAGCTAAGTATTTCTTAAAAATACCCAAAATAATGTTAATATTACTGCTAAAATTAAATAACTTCATAAACACTGTAAAAAGCAAACCATGTAACAGTTTCACCGCTACATGACAGTGCTTCAGACAACACTAACCTACTTAACACAAGGCACTTAGTGGCCTTGACAAGTTAGGTAATATTTTTAATAATTTTAGACTCTTAAGATAAACAGTTCTTTAAGCCAGTAGGACACACACACACACTTTGTCTACAATTATATAAAGTCATGGAAGAAAATTAAAACCTGCAATATTGTTGTTACTACCACATCTATCTGGAGATCACTGGAATTCTTAGCCTTTCTTGCATTAGCTGTTTAAAATTTCAGACAAATTCTTCTCTGGCAAGACTGGTTCATTTATACTCTGATGATGACTGAAAAAGACTTTTTTTTTTTTTCCTTCTTTTTGCAACACTTCGGTCCTGCTCAAGTGCTTAAAATCACAGTTTGGAAGGCACAAAAATGGAGGTTAATCAGATACAGAAAATTAGATCAAACGATGACTCAAAGAAAGAAATGACAGCAGCAGAAATTTCTTATAGGTTCTGATTCCAGGCTGACACTTCTCTTTGCATATATAAGTGTTCTAGTTTAAGTGATTCATTATACAAAGGCCTGCTGAGAAGTGTCCCACTTTTGCCTCAGGCAGCTCTTTAGTGAAGCTGTATACACCTGTGTTTCCAAAACAGAAGCTTTTTTATGTACATATTATGGCATAAAGTGAATTACACAAATTGGTAAAAGCCTAAATTAGGCTAAAGGACTTTCTGATTTGACACTTCCTTAAGATGAAAGATGTGAGCATGCAGTGCCCTCTAGTGCTTGTTCTCTTTTCCAGCACAGTCCCCGAGTTTACATACTTTAATGCTGTTGTGACATTTACGGCTAAAACCACTTTTTATTAGCATAAAGTGAAAGCTATGATTGCTAGTTAAACTAATACCCTTAGTGTTGTCTCTCTCTACACAGCATTTGCAGTGACTCCTCTGAAAGGCCAGCATTCACAGGACTACAGAAGCTAGCTGAAAAGCCAGCATGCTTTTCAAACACACGAGGTGGAATTCAGGCTGCCATTCAAGTCAATTGGAATTTTGTAATTTACTTCATTGGACTTAGGAATTCAGCCACCTTCAATGAACATATCTATACCTTGTTGTTATATTCCTATTTTCTCTATCAGGTCAATTTATTACAGTATGCTTATTCTGATATCTACATGTGTTTTAATATTTCCAATGTTTCTTGGTATGTAAGAAGAAACACAGTTAAATTTATGATTAAAGAAACAATGCAATAAAATACAGTATCTTAGTTTTCACATTCCATTTTAAAAATAAGGTTTCATCTAAGATTGCCTCATTGACTTGAATGGAGCTGTTGGCACAAAAATCAAGTGATGATTGGGTTTCCACTTCACATTTTAATTGAAAATTCTCACTGCTCATTTTAAGTACTTCTAAGTCATGCATTGGAGTATAACTTGGTAGTGTGTCTTTGACATCAGTTATTCATTCTTATATTTGGAATTGTAGTGTGCCATAAAATTTCTGATTTAAGAGGTGCATTTATTAATAAAGCATGTTAATTCTGATCATTCTTTATGATCACAGCAAACTTGATTCACAGCTTTCTGCAAACCTATTTCCTGTTTAAAGTGGTATTATACTGCCAAAGTTTTAAAAGGTTATTTTTTTAAAAAAAAAAGCTACCAGTTTATTGAAATATTTTAGAAGAGATGCTGCTGTTGTGATACTGTGTTTCATTTTGTAATCCCATCTGCTGCTTAGGCCAGATATGCATTTTCTGGATGCAATCTGTTGGTTTCCAATGGTTTACTACATGGTGGGCTCTATTGACAAGTAGGTGAAATAACTGTTAGAAAACTTAACATTGTAGTGCTCAGTGGCTTGTTGTGTGTATTGTCATTGCATGTTTAAGTGTGTGTTGTATTTGAAGATTATATTTTTGTATGCATGGTTTGTGTCTGTGTGCTATAATTTGGGATTTCAAATTTCTGACTTATAAAGGATATCATTAGTGAAAAGTATGACAGGGAACACAGGTTAATAACTTCAAAAACATAAGATTAACACACTTATTTAGGTGCATTAATATGTTCCTACAAATCGCCAGATTATAGCCCTGATTCTAGTGTCATTCTATACTTCATTATAATTTGTTTGGATTTACTGACTAGGGTTTTGTAAAGATAGCTACAGAATGTAGAGAGTACTAATACTGACAGTCTTGAATGTGTCCAACAGTCTTCATATTCTGCTAAAAATATCACTTACTCCTACATTTCTGTCTTCACCTCTGCTAATATATATTTGCATATCTAGGTTTAGCAACATAGATTTAATGTAAAAATCAGGCAGGAACAAGAGAAGAGCAAGGGCCAATAGCATTTTAGTAAACTCCTGTGTGTAGAGTGTCAATTTAAAGAAGAAAATTATTTGCTTCCACTACATAGTTAATTTTGAGTTGGGACTACAAGCCCATAATACCCATTCCCCAGGTAGAAATCAAAAAACGTATTTTCTGCCCTGAATTAACAGAATCCAGATTTTCAATGTGAATTCTGGAGATTCAATGTTTCTCCATCTCAACCTGTTTTAACAAGGGCTTTAAAACTACTTATGATAGTGATGCAGTTAAAGATTTACCTTGGTGATATCATAGCCATTGTGAGATTTGCAAAGTATCTACAGAAGTGTTTTTCACTTTCTACATTTCTTCCTCTAAACCAAGAAAGTGTCTCAGGTTATTAATGTCTACTACTTTCTTAACTCTTAATTCCACAACAACTATAAAAATAATTCATACCAGCAGAATAATTGAATTGACTCAAAGTATCCAAAGTAATTAATAACCCAAAGATGTTAACCTGTTTTTTATTAACACGGATAATTAAACTTTTATTTAAATCTACCCAGTTTATTTCAAAAAGAAAATCACCAAATCCCTCCCTGCAGGTGTTTTGTTTTAGAACTGAGTGCATTTTAAAAAAAAGTGTGTAGCCTTTGTAGTCTTTTAAATAAGTGATTATACAGAATTCTATAGTTTACAGTAATACTAGCATGAACTTCTGCATCTTTTCTGACAAGACAATCACTTCAGTTCCTGGTGCAATAGCCAATCATATTTTGTAGGGGGGGTTTTGACATCTGTTTTCATCAATAACAAGACTTCTAAAAATATAGTTCATACTTATTCCCTGTGTTTTCCTAAACGTGTTTTTAAATCATGTACAATTAATAGAAGTTGATCACCTTTAGCTAAGAACTACAATGTAAAATATGCAAAGTTTCCTTTCTTATTTAATAGGTATAGAATACATTCCCAAAGTGCCACCTACTACCTTTTAAGTATCTAATATATTTGTCATTTGGTTACCTGGCATGAAGTGTCATTATCTTAGATAGAGAACCAAAGGAATTACTCTCATTTACCTCTCCTTTTTGTTGGAAGTGGATGGCCTGCAGAAAAATAGCTTTACCAAAATTCATGGTGGGGATGAACTTCATCAAAATATGTCATCAAGTAGTAGAAACCTGTTCTACAGTCTTCAGGTATAAGTGATGTGAGACCTGTAACTGAAGAGGTTTCACAGCTGTGTAGAAATCTGTTCGGTATTAAGAAACCTATAGCTAAAGGTACCTGAGAACTAGAGTTACAATACTTCTAAATTAGTATTTTTTTAAATTCTCCACAAATTAGTTGAATGTAACTGCTAAAATAAGAATAGCTGTTGAGCTTATGAAACGTTGAAATGCAGAAAATCTGGGTATTTCAGAATATGCTGCTATTTTCAGGGATCAACTGAAAGACTGAAAAAGCAGAAATACAAATCACTCAGAGAAAGGTCAAAGTTCTACTTATGCACTGAAGTTGTTAGTGTAGATCATATAAAATACAGCCTTTCTTTTTTTTGTAGTCAACCACCGGTGATACTACACAGTTTCAAAAATAATTATATTATGTGTTTGTTTTGGAAGAATATGTATAAGATGTAAAATAAAACAGATTCAGATTTGTTTAGTTTTCCTTATCCAAAATTTCAAAAAGAATTTATAATAGGTTACATAAACTTAGGAACCTAAGAAGATCATTGCTGAAAAGAAAAACTGTATCCAGACAATTAAGACTTAATTAATATTATAGATTGTCACATGATAAGCAATTGTAATGCCAAAACAGCTTTTTACCTTGGAAGTAAACAGAATGATGCAAAAATTTAGTTTTCCAATTTCCCTTGGAAACCATGAAATTCACCCTTTCTTCTTATTTTCACTTACTTAAAAATTGCTAGGTTCCTAGCAGCCTTTATCATTACAGAAAAGTCCTTTCTAAACTTTTTGAAAAGCGCTTAGTTTCTATGGAAAATGTTATTGTTGAAACAACCAACATGCTTCATTTTGGAAACAAAGCTGTAAGGCATGATGGGAACTGTAACTCAGTTGTCTGAGTGTTTTCTATGGTCAGGCTTCACAGGAAACATTGTCCAGCGGAGTGCAGTTTTACTGATGTACAGCTGCTCCTAAAAGCATAGTGAGAACACTCCAACTCATAGATTAACCTGAAAGAGGAATGCATTAGATGTCCTGGCAGAACCTTTATTATCATTCTGAAACTGAAATGTAATTGTGGGAAAGAGCAACTCAAAGCATTTATTTCAGTCCATTTATTGCCAAAAGTAACTGCAAAAGGAAGCAAGTTGTTGCAGCATGTAAGGACATACTGTCTTCCCAAGTAACTGTTAAAGGCTTATTTTAAAAAGTTGAAATAAATTTATCATTGTAGCAAAAGGAGAGGGACTGTAACAACCTACTGAAGTGCATTCTGTATGACTTCAAGGAAAATAATTATTCATATTCTATTCTATCAATTAATTGAGATTATATACTTGATATAGATTATATTAGAAGTTATGATATGTACATGGAGATGAAGGGAACCAGCAACTCAGCCTGTGATCTGTAAATTCCAACCATCCCTAATCTTTTAAGTGTTCCATATTTAAGTTGCTTGTTTCTTTCTCCTTCTTTCTCTTCACAAAAGCCTAGATGACTTATTAAGATGTGGGGTCACCTTTGCAGCTAATGTGGTGGTGGTGGACAAAGAAAGTACAATGAGTGCCGAGGAAGACTACATGGCAGATGCTAAGACTATTGTAAATGTTCAAACACTCTTTAGGTAAGACATCTATCAATACATCTTCATTAATCATTAAATACTTAATGCCTTTTGTACTCAGATGAGAAATGATTTTTTTTTTCTTTCTTCTACTTAAGTTTTCCCTTATATGAACTTGTGTCTTACATGGGCAAACCTTTTCCCACCCTACTTAGCAATACATTCAGAGTACTGAGGTATTCTCCTGAAATCTCAGATGAAATTCTATGCATCCCAAAACTGGATGATCATTTTAGAAGTCAACTGTCAGGTTTTCAGGAAGGAAAAGAAAGCTACTCTTGAAGACTTAGGACCAAAGATAGTTGAAAAAAGAAGTTTTTCCTCAGTGCAGCAGTCTTTCACAGTAATGCTAAAGCCAGTATAAAAAGCAGATCCTTATAAAAGGTAAGCAATGCATCACTATGGTGTTAGTAGTAAGTGTTCATATTTTGAATACTTAGTTTTGAACAAAAATTAGGTTTTTAGGCACATGTATGCAACATTACAAATGACAACAACATACTAAGAGTCATGAAGGAATAACTGAATACAGAGTGAAAAAATGATCAGTCTAGTAAAGAGGCTGAGAAGGCAGTGCTGTGATGAAGAGCTAAACAAACTGAGATTTCCTATTCTTTTTAGAACCTCTCCTGATTAAAGCCTCACTTTGTGTTAAATATTTTGTTTCAACAAGTACCAAAAAAATACATGTCCCTTTAAACTGAAAAGAGTTATTTGCTTAAAAAACAAAACAAAACACAAAAAAACCCACACAAAAAACACACTATACAGTCAAGTATGACATGCCTCCCCAATTTGGGGCCTAAGCCTAGCACTTCCTGTTCATTCTAATAAGACCTAGACAAAATAAAGTCCTTCCCTAGAGGATTCAGTATCATTCAATATTGCTGCCCTTTTCTGTGTCAAGCCTTCCACATAAGACCGGACAGAAATGCATAGTAAAAGTCTTTTGAACCTGTCAGTGTTTTAGAAAACTGAGCTCATTAAAACACAAGTATTTCAATGGAGAGTTTTGTTTTTTTTTTTTAAATGTAACCGTGTATGAGAATGTAGTTAAATGCCGTCCGCATTTCTGCATGTGCTCAAAAGAAGCAAAATCTGTGTTGCATGAGAAACTTTAGTTCTGTCTTTTTCTAACTTTGAGTTTTTGAATTTGTACTCGATACCAGCACAGGCGTGTGTGTTTCATAATCACACCTAAATTTAATTTAGAAACTATAATTGAACTTAATCTGTGCAGCATTCAAGTCTACTCTTAACCATATTGTGCTAGGGTATCTCACTGATGTTTTGCATATATCATTTAAGTTTTTCAGAAATATATTTTACCCCAAATATAAAACAGAAAAATGAGTTGAATAAAAAAATAAAACTTACAAAGTACCAGTTGATTTTTGCCATAGCAGTGTTCTACCTTGTAAAAAATACTAAAAAAAAAAATCATAGTAGTACACTATGTACCATAGGCATCCAGCTAGAACTTACTATATAATCATTCAGTTGTTTTGCACAATGCTTACAACTAGATGGCAGCTTTAATTCATGTATGAGCTGTATATCTGGTTCAGTATAATTTTCAGACTGCATGGTACTTTTTACAAATATCAAAAGAAATCAGAATAAATATCTTGGTTTAAGACTTAACTATACTTTTTCAGAAAACTTTGTAAACTTTCACAAAAAGTGTATTTTATATTTTTTTTTCTAACTGTTTTCCCCTAGAACACATACAATAATTTCACTGCATATTTATACTCTGTAAAAGCTGTAGAAATAAGTAAGCTTTGGGAAGAGGCATAAGGTAGTGGCATTTACCTGATCTACAGAATGAACTACATTCATTGCACCAAGGTAAATAGTTTTGTAAGTGAACTTAAACATATTTTTAAAAGATTTTTCATTACTTAATAATAGCTAATAATATCAGAAACTAATGAAGAAGAGGCTGGACATGGTGGAGAACAACAGCACTTAACACAAACAGTAGTGTTAAAGAAAGATTTTAAACCACTGGAGTTTTGCTAATATATACTGTTCTCAAAGATATCACATCAATGAAGAAGATTGATGTGTCACACCAAGTGAAATCATTCAGAAGATACAGGCCAATCTAAACCTCATTGATGTGATTGACTCAGATCAGCTCACCTCATTAAGGGTTGTGGACAGGCCTGAAAAGGTGATGTAAGTGTGCTGCAGTATTGTTTGGCCTAGGTTGCCAGTTCTCATACACTTGTTCTGACATTATTCCCCAATTTACATAAATTAATAACCTTGCTTTGCCAGAAGAATTCCCCCACACACACCTTAAAGATAGATGCATTGTTTATAATGACAGGATTATTAGCACCTTTAAGGCTAGAAACTGTTCCATACCAATTAAAACTGTAACACAACACTAGCTTATATGACTTAATTACAGTTAAAAGGAGTAAAGAAGTGTGACTCAAATGGTCACACTGACTAAGAAAGGAAATCTTTAATCCTCTGGATGGGAAAGAACAAGTTAGCATAGTTTAAAAGTACAGGGAGAAATTACTAGTTTTGGACTGTATCCTAGAGATGCTTTTCACTTTTAATATGAAATATGAAGCCAACCATTGAGTCCCTATTGACAGTTATGAGTCCACCTCAGAAAAATAGTGGGTTTCCTCAGGCAGTAGGCCTGTACTAGAAGGAGTGTTTATATTTACTCTTGCTTTCTATTAATTAATGAGTTTAAATGTTGGTGTTTGGGAGGCCCTGTTTTTAAGTTCTTAATAGCTAACATCTTGAAGGCTATGTTTCAAATACTGCAAGAAGCCTATTGACAGCCTATATTACACCTAACAAGTCAATAGTTTGGCTCCTATCTAGCAGTCAGCAGCAATTTATAGATAAATCAAATGAGGTGTTGTGATGGCATTACATTGTTTTCTTTGTGTATCTTTTTGGTTCAGGAAAGAACTAAGTGTATCTCTTGCTTGTCTGATTCCCAAATACCAGTTCAACAGCAACCCGTGTCTTCCATCAGGCCGATTAGGGCTTTCTTCGCCCCATCCAGTCCTTTTCTTACCAGAATGGGATAGAAAAGGGGGATCTTTGCACAGAAGTAGCCTGCTCCGGTGCTGAAAGCTTGCAGGCAGTGTGCCTTACACCCAGGGCGAGAGGCAATCTGGCCCTGACTACCTGGAAAGTCATTTCCCCTAATTCCGCTAAAAGGCACTCATAAGTAAAATACAAATTTTACCAATACCAGGTTTTAAACTGATTTCCTAATATAAATCAGTTTTCATATCTTGGTGATAAACTAGTCCCATCTTTAACAGAAACCTAGTCCTCTGCATTTTTTCTGTAAGTTGTGTATATTTTATCATTAGATCAGCTTTTAATCTCCTGTTACTCTTAGTTCCGAATGTTACATTGTTAGTTTTCAAATATGAATGCAACACAAGAAAATTTCCAGCCAGCAGAAGCTTAAGTAATTCTATGATACAGAATTAACGCAGAGGAAATTTATTCTCCTTCCTCCGAACTTGTACTTATTAAGTAGCTTAACAAATATGTTAAAGTTCATACCTACAAGTGTGATATTATCAGGATTTTTTTTCAGTTTTCTTGAGCACTTCACAGGTTTTTATAACACACAGCATACAAGTGAAGATGTACCACAGTTGCATCTCAAGGGTGTGGTTATCATGTATTTATGTATGTAGACTCCATTCCCTAAGGGCTTAATCTTTAGTGGGACATAAGTAGACTTTGTATAACAATACTGCACCACTCAGTTTGTATCAGTCTGACTGTAAGAACTAAAAAGGTACAGAAATTTCTGAGCATGCACAATGCCTTTCAAACTTCAGTGCACACAGACGTTGTTAAGTGATTCACATTCTCACCCAGTTTGCCAAGTCCATTTTTCCTTATATGATCACATTTAATATTTGGTTATTCACAGGGACATGATAACTGCTAACATAAGAATGGCTAGCATTTCTACCATCATATGATCATATGTTCAGAACATGTCTGGGATCTTGTGATCATTACCAGTCTACATTTTGGCATCAACAGACCTAGGAAAATGTCTTGCAATAAGATGGCATTAACACTGACAGATAGCTTTGACATGCATTTCCCCACATTTAGGCTCTGCTTGAATTGCCATTTCAGTGAAGTTCCTCCCTACAAAAATGAGGGAAAAAGACTAAAGACTTGCAAAAAAGTACATTGGATTCCATTTGACACTAACTTACTAAATTCAGCTTTCAAGAAAGCCACTTTAATTTTTATCTGAATTAAACAGAAGCCATATTAATGATGTCATTAGTACTACAATTGTCTATTGTCATATGTAGATGAGTACTTTCAGGATCAGCGGAACAGATTACAAATGCACATCTCATTTTCTGACACTATTATTTGAGTATTTCCTCTACAGATTAATCTGAGTTCTGTAGAGAAAATAAATAATAATCTGAGTTCTATTCCAAGTTGCTTAGTAGTTTATGCTATGCAAATACAAATTTCTTTCTAGTTCTTAGAGCCCTGAGAGCTGGGGAGGGGCTCTTTAGTCTGCTTCATGAAAATCTATGTCATTCAGCCAGACCAGAGTTAAACTTTCTTCACTGTTTTTTGTTATTGGAAGCCTGAATTAGCATTAACTTATAAATATTTTGTATATGTAAATATTTCAAGGTGAGAACATAAGTATACGTTTTCTCAGCAATTTAAATTGCTGAACTCCCAAGAAGTGTCAGTTTTCATCTATGTTGCTCACTCTGTGGACGTACAGCATATAAACAGAACTCAAAAAAAAAATCAAATGGAAAGACTACATAAGCCAGTTCTAATAAAATGGTAGTCTACATGCAACCAGCTACTAAGTGCAGGCTATATAGTTTTGCATTTTTTGTTGTTTCCTACAGATTTGTGTCATTTTAGAAGTTATTAAATAAAATCTCCAGTAATGAAATTAAGTGGTTCCTTTCTAGCATTAAAATATTTTATAAGATCAGCCTTTGAAGGTATGCTTGCTTCTTTGTGAATTCTACAGAGAATGTTTTGTAGTTTCCTCTGCTATTATACCAGCATTTCATTGTGCCAGAACACACCACAGGTTTCAGGCACTTCATTAAAAGCATGGACACGAGCACAAGCTTTAGCATTATGTAGAGCCTTATATTTGTGAATTGTTATAATTAGAGGTATAACTGTTACATTCTTTTAAAATACAGGTTGTTTTCAAGCCTAAGCATTATCACAGAACTAACTCACCCAGCCAATATGAGATTCATGCAGTTCAGAGCCAAAGACTGCTATTCTCTTGCTCTATCCAAATTAGAAAAGGTAAGGAGATTTGCCTCCCCTGCCCCCCACCCCCAATTTAAATGTTATCATTTTAACACTTTCTGACTTTGTAACAATACTTTCAAAACAACTGGAAACAGTGAAATGATTTTATGGTTGGTTGCAGAGCTAATGTAAAAGATTATTTTTTCCAAATTCTATTCTCATTTAAGAATGAGGTTTGATTTGAGTTCCATCACTTCAAAATATAATATTAATCCACCAGCCCTCTGGACAGAGGTGGACACAGAATTTGCTCAAGGAAAATTGAATATTTTTGGATAACTGAATATTTAGAGCCAATATGATTTTCCAAGAGGCTGCCACAGGCACTTAATGTGGAAAATATTTTAATTGACTAAACACTTAAAACATATACATTTTTTATTATAATGCATTTTTTAATGCCAATTCACTTTAAAGGCACTATAATTACATATTCTGTATACATTTCCACGTATCTGTATGAGGTATTTGCATTATTGTGACAGTTTGAGAACAGCAATTGTTCTCTGTCAAAGGGCAGTCCTAGTGACAATAAGGATAGTAACACTACTTAAATGCTAGATAAAACCTTCATATCCTATACATTCTAGTGCACGTGTTGGCATTTTCAAGCTGTGGAACAGGGAGGCTATATGGAGATAAGTTTAATGTAATTTGCTTGTCCAAAATACTATTGCTAAAATATTAGATGGAGCATACTAAGTAACTTTGTGCATCTGTTTAACTTGGTAAATTCCAGGACAAGCCTCTTTTTCACAGATCTTAGTTGGTGATCTGACCTACCTACCTCTGCAGTGCACAAAACTTACAGTATCACTTTCGTGATCTTTCAGGACATTTTCTGAGTTTATGAGAGTAAGACAAATAATATCACTGTACCAGTCTTCAAGGACAGAGATCTTTCGGTCCAGTCATCTCTTTTTCCCCTTGCTATCAATCTAGATATTATTGCTAGGTTCTTTCATGTAGCCTCCCAATCTCTTCACCTCAGATATCTTACATGTCTTAGCAAATCTGAATTAATGCTAAAATCATTATCATTATACAGAATTAGTATATAATTTTCATTTCCTAGCTGTACAGTAAATTTCCTAGATTTTGGGAGTTTCAGATATTTCACTGTATTGCAGGTATTTTACTATTTATAATGTTCACAGTTAGTTAATTTCTATATATATTTAATGGAAAACAGCCTTTTCATACAAACTTATATTCACAGGCCAGCTCCCAGACTCTTACACAGGAATTGAATTCTGCAAAAATTCAGCCTGTCTAGATGAGATAGGATAAGTATTAGAAATCAATCTTTTACTCATTTGACTATCATGCTTACATTTTGACCACAAGATGTAAATATCTGGGTGATCTTTTGTGATTTGTTGACCTTTGCCTGAAATAGTACGAAGGCTTAATCTTATTTAGGTGCTATTCTAATAAGCGCATAAAATGGAGAACTGTGAGGAAGCTAGACAAAAGTTGTTACACCAAGAGAGGAGCAGTTTGCAGTGAGAGGCACATCTTCATTTGGATTATGCCATGCCCACTATCCATTAAGGTTTGCACCTGTGGCTCCTCCATTTTAGCACTCTGTCCTTCAATGGTACCTTCAGGAAGAATAAGCTGGAACTGGCTGGAATCATGCATTGCCAGTTTATTTAGGGCAACAAGTGCCAACAGCTGGATGGCGCCTTCAAGACTATATTCCAACCTACCTTAAGTTCCTTGGTGTACTATTACTGACAGCAATTTTTTTTTTTTTTTTTTTTTTAAACATATTCCTTTAATCCATACAATTTAGTGATAAGGGGAGCTAAGAATAGCAATAGCTTTCCCAGTATGTGGTGTCTACAGTTGCTTCTAGAATAGTCCATGGGCTGTAGCCTGTCTACTTCAATGCAGTGAAACCAGGATTTTTATCTCAATTCTCTTTCTTGCTTTACATAGGCTCCTTCATTTTTCCAGCAAAGGTTCTGGAAATCATTAGAAATATTATAATTTCTTCCCTATCTTTATTAATTTATTGTGCAAATGTAAAGTTGTGAATGTAGGTTGGAAGCCGAACAGTTAATTAACTTCCTATCCAAACTACGCTATGCTGAAATAGAGGTAGATAAGTTATCTTAAAGAAAGAACATTTTCTTCATTGCTGTTGAAGTTGCCTGCTGTTAATATTCCCCACTCATTTCATCTTAACATTTACAGGGAGCACTTCACAGGTGGTGCTGTAGTTCATTTGATGTTTCAGAACTCCCTCATGCAAAATGAAAGGCAGTTAAAAACTCAAGTAAAAATTATCTAATGCAGTCAAATGTACAGTTGATTGTTATTTCTGCATTAAGCACCTCATTTTCAGAAAGACTACAAAAGTCAGGCAAGTTGCCTTCAGGTAGCACTGAAACACACATGCAAAACTGACTTTTCAACCTAATGGGCTGCAGAAGATACACACACAAATCAGAGAAGTCATCTGCTGTTGCAGCTGCAGCTTTCCTCATTTTACAGGTAAATAAATCTGAGCACCAAACTCAGTACTGACATAGGAGAAAGCAATGGCCCTTATACAACACAGAAAAGGAAAGAACAAAACACCCATAGCCTAAACTTAAAACTTATGTTCTCCATTTGTCTTAGATAAGGAGGAAAAAAAAAAAAAAAAAAAGAGATAACCACTCCCTCTTTCTTGAAAGAAAGGGTTTAGAATGTCTTGGATAAGATTCACACTTTAGTTTTCTATGGGGGTTTTTTATTTATTTTCCAAGTAAATATGGCAGGAACTGAAGGATAAAAATTCTAAACCTTTAAGTGATCATTTTAAAATATGTGCAAACTCCTATATCTTGTACTCAAACCCATGCTGTGATTTTATATCTTCCACAGGGATAAGCACATAAATGTTAGGTGAGCAGAAATCTATCTAGGATAGCCCAGTATATTTGCAGTGATACACACAAAGCCAGGCTGCTTTTTTCACCTTCAGTTAAGGATAGGGCATGCTGTCCCCATTTGTTTTTAATATTGTTCAGGTTTTAAGCAGATTTGTAGAAACATTAAGTAATAGCAAGCAGTAATGATATATGGGTTATAAAAAATAAATTGGTCCCTCTCAATTGGTGTCTTATTTTAGGTGGATCTCTAATGATTTACATCAGCTACAATTCTAAAACTGTATAAATAATTAGCATACATATTTGGCTATTGAACTGGCAGGTTTTTAGAAAGCTGTTCCAGATAAACAACAGAAAATGAATCTGTTCTTGCCAAAAAGGTAGAACAGAATCAATTAAGAACACACAGTCTAAAATACTGTAAACCATTCTAGAGGTGAAGTGTTATCAACCCAAAATCCCTTATGTCAAAAAAAGGTACTGTAAAGAGATTTCCATGCCCAGATTTCTATCAGTCTTATATCTGACATGGGCAACAACCAACATTTACCAAAACTAACAGTGCACCGACTGTTCCCTGTAATAAGCCACTACCTCTGTCACCTTTATATGTTCTTGCATGACCCCCAACCCCTCCCCCCATATCCTTGTATGTTTATTAAAGCAACTTTGCATTGTTTGTACGCAACAGTTACAGCCTATCATGGCAGTTCCCATATTACTGTCTATATCGGAGGAGAATATATTAAATCAAGATGGGCCTTAGATCTCTTTCAACCACTGACAGAGTGGCCAAAGCAGGGCTTCAGGTTAGTTAGGGGTTGGCACTTTGTTATTGGTATCATAGAATTAACTGTTATGAAGGAATAGGTATTTAGAAATAGTAAAAAGATAAAACCATGATAAAGAACCCTAAAAAGGATTTGATATGAATATAAATGGAGGTAGAAAAGAGGAAAATAAACTGAAAAGCTTATGAACCTGACCTTCTGGGCAGATATTCTCTGGTATTCTGACAATATGCAAACCCAAAAGAAAATAATTAATTAACCTCAAATTAAATTACCTATATGGAAGAAGTACATGCTAAGAACTTCTCAAAGCCACAAGTGTACACCTGCTATTACTTAGAAAGAAAGCAGTAAAAATTCTGAACTTCATGACTTGAGCAAAGCCACAAACATAGGAAGACTGAGGAGGAAGTAAAGATCTCCATCTATTAATAGCTGTGTCTTAAAATGTCATCTATATGTGTGAAGTTCTACAGGACGCACTTCATGCCATGATCTTTTATTTCTGTTCCTAGAAATTATCTATGATTTTCTTTAAGTAGTTATATCCTCTTCCTTAAGTCCAAAAAGTGTCAGGGAAGGAGCTGCTGGGCATCACACTTATCGTGAAATAAAACTGCTGGGGCATTCTGGCACATTTCTGGCTTCTACATCCGCAGTATTCTCTGGGAATCGAATAAGTCTGCAAGTAATAAAGCAGAACTCAATGCAAAGTGCCTGAGTAAAAATTGTATTTCTCACAAATCTTTTTAAGCAAGAATAAAAAAAAAGCAAGCCTGTAATAAGAGATGGAAGGAAACAATATAAGAAATTTAAATTAAAGGGTGAAAATAAACTAAGCTTCCATTTTAAAATAAAACAAATAGGAACATCCTTATGTTTATCATCAGAATTTTGGATAAGAATCAAATTATTCCCCCATTATCTCTTGCCTTATCCCACCTTTCTTGGCACAAAACCAGTATCTGCTGCAAATTTCTCTGAACAGATGGAAGGATAAACATAATACCTCAACATGAAAGGATAGTTGCTTTTCAGCCAGTTTTCTATAAGATATTTTATGGCATAAATCTAAAAGGATGTAATGTATGTTATAATATGCATGTAGTTTTGATTTTGAAGTATTTGTTGTAAAACAAATCTTACAATCTTTTCTGTAATTCACACAGAAGTTTTTATTCTCAACAGCAATTGAAGAAAAATATCTTCTACTTTGCACTAAAAGAAAAGCACTCAAATATGAGATCAAACTACAAAATACATAAGTTCTCATTTCTGTGGCTTACACCACTAAGCACAATGGTATGCTTATCTAAGTAAAGTGCTTTTTGTACAATTAGACTGCTTTTTTCTTCAACTGTCAGAAGTACACAACTTGCTAGAAACACCCCTTTGCTGCTCAGCCATCAAAGCACACGTGTGTCTGCGTATGTGTGTGAGACAGTATGAGTATATATGTATGTATGCATGCATTTCTCATGGAGAAGAAACTAATACAAGCCAGTAGTATTTGGTCAGAACATAGAAAATGTTTGGAATAAAAAACCCTGAAATAATAATTTTATTTCCTTAAAAATTTTGAAACCTCTTTAATCTGAAGAGATGGACAGAGGTGACATTTTATAAAGGACAGATTAATGTTATATTTTTAAGAGTTATTTGCTGTGTATTTTTATCTGGAGAGGAAATTCTTTGTGTGTGACATTCACTGAAATACCATTTCTTCCCTTTTGCATCAGATTCTGTTCATGTTTCATGTTCCTGTTCCTAGTAAACTTTCTGGACCTGAATAAGAGTCCACTGTCAGCACCAAGGAATGGGAGCAGGAATAACAAGAGCTTTGCTCTAAGCACAGTTGAAATCCCTCAATCATTTTTAAAATTACCTGGTAGAATATGCCCATGCAATTTGAGATGTGATGATTGAAACAAAAACAAAACCATTAGTTAGAGCAGACTGCTCATTTGCATGTCACAGAATCAGAGCATGGTTAGGGTTGGAAAGGACCTCTAGATGTCATCTTGCCTAAAGCCCCTGCTCAAGCAGGGCCACCTTAGAGCCAGTTGCCCAGGACGATGTCCAGAGGGCTTTTAATTATCTCTGGAGGCACTGTAGCAAAAAAAAAAAAAAAAAAAAAAAAAAAAAATGTGTTTCCTGACGTTCAGAAGGAACCAACTGTGTTTCAGCTGGTGCCCATTGCCTCTTGTCCTGTCCCCTAGGCACCACTGAAAAGAGCCCGACTGTCTTCTCTGCACCCTCCCTTCAGGTATTTATATACATTGATGAGATCCTCCCTGAGCTTACTGTTCTCCGGGCTAAACAGTCCCAGCTCTCTCTCAGCCTTTCCTCATAGGAGAGATGCTCTAGTCACTTGATCATCTTAGCAGTGCTTTTTTGGACTACCTCCAGTAGCTGCATCTCTCTTTGTACTGGGGAGCCTAGAACTGGACACAGTACTCCAGGTATGGCCTTACCAGTGCTGAGTAGAGGGGAAGGATCACCTCCCTCGACCTGCTGGCAGCACTCCTCCTAACGCAGCCCAGGACACCATTAGCCTTCTTTGTCACAAAGGCACATTGCTGACCCATGTTCAACTTGGTGTCCACGAGGACCCGCAGGGTCTTTTCTGCCAAGCTGCTTGCCAGCCAGTCAGTCCCCAGCATGTACTACTGCGTATATGTGGTGGATGTAAGTGTCTCAATTCCAAGACATGTAACATTTCTGTACTTTGAGAACACATCTTATTCTTCATGACATCTCTGAACTGAAAGCTTGATGTTTCCTCTCTTCTTAAAATAACAAAATGACTTCCAACCTGTAGTTTTAGTCTCTGATAACTGAAGGAATAGGAAGCACATTGTGGTGTGATTCCTCTGCAAGTGAGATGTGATAAGAAAAAGGCATAACTATAGTATGTTTTTCTGCATCCCTTCCCCAGAAGCATCAGAGCAAGAAGTTTCTACCCCAGTCCATGTCTGATCTCCCCTCACATTCACTGAAATACCATTTCTTCCCTTTTGCATCAGATTCTGTTCATGTTTCATGTTCCTGTTCCTAGTAAACTTTCTGGACCTGAATAAGAGTCCACTGTCAGCACCAAGGAATGGGAGCAGGAATAACAAGAGCTTTGCTCTAAGCACAGTTGAAATCCCTCAATCATTTTTAAAATTACCTGGTAGAATATGCCCATGCAATTTGAGATGTGATGATTGAAACAACATATGCATTAAACAAAATCTTCCAACCTGAAAAACTGTAAGTAGTGAACAAAGATGCTACATATTTGTCAAAAGAAACTATATACAAACTAAAGGGATTTTAGACTTTTGACCTCTTTCAAGGTAATATCAATTTGATGTTTTTATTATAGTCCTTCCAAAACGAGCACTAAAAGTATTTTCTATTTTCTAATTCCTTAACAGAAAGAGCGGGAGAAGGGATCTAATCTAGCATTTATGTTTCGACTGCCCTTCGCTGCTGGCAGGGTTTTCAGCATCAGTATGTTGGATACGCTGCTTTATCAGGTACTATGAACAGTAATGTGACTTATCTTAACACAGACATGCATTGTTACCACCTATTTTATTGTACTTCATTGTTAATGACCCCTGCCATCAATGCGCATGTCTGTACCAGGAACAATCAAAGGCAAAAGATAATGGAGCACATTCCACATGACAGTACTAGCTCAGTTGTCAACCCAAAAATCACCTTGTTCTTGCACAAATTCTGTTGTTAAACAATATAATACTTTTTGTGAACCTCTCCACAGTCAAATAAGCGCGTTAGTTTTGATAAGGCCTACATAAAATACAGATTATACAGACTAATAATGCTTGTACTCTGCAACAAAAAGACAGTGCTTGTTCCCACAAAGTAGTGTCTCTAACCACAAAAATCAACAGAATTACTTTTATGAGTAATTTATCAGTCATCTGCATTTGCTGATAGAGGCCTCAATTACTTCATTGTGTCCTGTCCTCTTACTCATGTTGACTAAACCTCCAGATGACCAGTCATCGTATCTTAGAGTAACCCATTCTGGCTCTAACAAGAAATACATGCAGTAGTTACAAAGAGACAGTGGGGGAAGAAAAAGCAGCACTGAACCTTGTTGCCCAAGAATCCAGGACGGACCTCCTCATGCAAAAAGAAGTGATGACAGTCAGTGGGGATAAGGGAAGGGCAACAGCCTCAGACAGTTGAAGAAACAATATATCAGAAAATATGGGGTCAGGACAAATGAAGGTAGTAGTTGCTGATTTCAGGGTGGAAAAAGAGGAGAATATTGCCCTCGTTCCTCAGCAATGACCACCTTTCTGCATACCGTGATACATTGGGATCCCCAAGCAGCAGCCCCCAGCACTAATCTTCAAGGATCTAGCAACGCAGAATAAGGAACAATACCACCACGGCCCATGTGGTCTGCTCACCTAAACAGCTACCTACTTTGCCTATACCTAGAGGTAGCCTGTGGATGCTTTTGTATTCAGGTGCTAAACATTCTTTCAGAGAAATTAGCTTACTTGGTAATTACTTTGATGCATGACAGGTGTTCTTTCATCTCAATTCTACTTCCAAATAAATTCCTTGAAGGCAAATTCAATGTAAATAGAAAAATTCCTGAAGCTAAGCTTTTCTCAAAAAGTCATAAATTTATAAAACAGTCATGTATATGGACAGGTACCAAAAGCAGATAAGCCAACAGGTGTAAAGCCATTTATCAAATTCTAGATGTTTTAGAAATAAATGTATTTGCTTATAAAACATGTTTTCAATCATGTCGCAGAATATCAACACCACATATGGCAAAATTTTTTTAAAAAGTAGATTAAGACACCTGTATAGAAGCAGATCTGTCATTATCAACAACTCCTGCCAGCCCATAAGTAACTTCAATTTTTTATATTTGCTCCTAGACGTGAGCAGTCATGCTATGACTTGACAGAGTAAAACCATTCACCAGAAAATGTTTAAAACAAAAAAACCCACACGCTCATTCTCACTCAAATTCCATCCATTCTTTCTTTGAACTCCTGCTGCTCAGGTGAACTGTCATTTTTCTAGAATTATCTTTTTTATTTCAAGTTACAAATACTATGACAGCAAGTTCTGTCTGTTCTTTTTCATGGTCCCATCCTTTTCTGTATGACATCTTTTTCTTCTGCATACAAGGAACAGAATAAATGACATGGGAAACAGCGGGGTTCATTTGGTGCTTCCTATTTTAGGCCAAAAGAAAAGCCTTCAAATTATCTTTACGACACTGACTGAAAAAAATGAAAGCTTGGTCTAGCAAATCCTTGTGAATACACTTAGTAATCTAATGATAATTCCATAGCATAAATGATGCAGCCAAAATAACAAATAAGTGAAAGTTACAAAAAATTTTGTCCTTTTCAGGAAGATGCTCTGGCATTTACCCTGTCACAACTAGAAGATTACCAGTACAAAAATTAAAACAGTTGAATCACTATGTATCAAATTAAATGTCTAGCTTCTGAGTTTAAACAAATTCAGATGCTATAACTCTAAAGGATTTATATAACACCTTTGTAAGGTGTTTTATTAAAACCTATTTGCTGCTAGCTCCATATTTGCATTAAGCTAAAAGAGCTAATTGCAAGTTGTGTTCCAACAAGGATTGATAGCCTGCCTTGAATGCTGCTCTACTACACCTAAGAAGAGGTGGCAACAAACAGTCCTACCACAGTTAGCAGAGCACCCACATGGCCCTCCGATTCCAGCAGCCCAACTCATAAAGAGGAGAAATAGTTGTGATTTTAGCTGATCTAATGTCTGTTCCCGGTCTTAGGCTACGTTTCTACATTTAGCATAATTTCTACCTTTTAACCAATCAGCAAAACGTTTCTGTTAGCAGAGCAACAAGCCTGACCCGAGGTAAGGCAGATCAACCCTTAAAAAAAAAAAAAAGGTGGATTGGCGAAGGCAAATGACTCATCTGAATTCAAATGGCAGCAGTCTCACCTTAGTATTACCCACTACTCAGTACTGCAGACCCATCTAACATACAACAGCATTTCTTTTGCACAGAAGAGTTCATTACTATAATTTCACACCTAATAAGGCTAACATCTTACTTCCATTGATCTTACATCTACATTCATCTTCGCTTTCATGGTGCGTTATTATGCCTTAGTCTGTTTGAATCCTGTATGTACATTGCATGCATATGCAGAACCAAATAAGAAAGCTTATTTTATGTAAGAAGATTCAGCACAAAGAAAGTGATAGCTATTTCTACAGTGATTAAGATACTTAAAAGATAGAGATTGATTGTAAACACAGATGTACAATTTCTTTGAAATTCACACATAGTGCATGGTTACCTGCTCATCTGTTCATTAAAGCTTTTTTCTTTCTTTTCCATCTCTCCTGTTAAAAATCTTGCAGTCATTTGTGAAAGATTATATGATTTCTATCACAAGACTTCTGCTGGGACTTGATACTACACCAGGATCTGGGTTTCTTTGTTCTGTAAGTTATTAAAAAAAAAAATTAGAGTACCAGAGAAGATTTTGTACTGCCTGCACAATACCTGTACTTTCATTGTATGGCACTTCCTTTTGTGAAAGTCCAAGAAAGGCCATCTGTCTCCTTTTTCCACCAGGGGAGAAGACGAAAATTAGATAGAAAACATACCCATTTTGAGTTACTTCCACAGTAAAAAACACACCCCCTGCCCCCAAGAAAACACAATACATTCTATAAAGCACAATAGAAAATAGGAAAGACAGGAAAACACAGGAAAAGTGTGTTTTATATGAAATAGCAATGGCAGTTCAGCAACCAATTTTAGAAATTAAGTATATAAAAAACAGGAAGCACTACCTATATTGTACAGCCTGGCTAGCACTTACACACAATGCTATTTCACAACACCCATTTCCATCATAGGCAATAAAGGGCAGAACCAGTTTTTACATAAAGATAAAAGGTATTAAATGACTTTAGTTTAGGTGTCAAAGTTCAAAAGTCATCTTGTTATTACGTATGCCAATATTCCCCAGTTTGTTTTTTATATGTATATACACACAAAAAATAAAACCATAAAAATTTATTTTTTATTAAAAATAAAACCTACCTTTCTGTTTTCTCCCACACCCATCACACCCCACGTGGCAAACAGATAAATAGAAGTTATTTACCAGTTGCTTTCTGGGGATCTATAAAGAATTGCAGCATGTTGTTCTCAAAAAGGAGGTTATCAATGATGGTTTAAGGAAGTTGTTTAAATAAAAACCAATTATGGATTTGTTGGTCAATTGTTAAGCTTTGTTACACTGAATGCAAGACAGTTGAATCTCTGAAAAGGGGCTCACATATCTTGAAATAAAGCTAGTATAATAGTAATGAAATACTTGAGATTAATTTGACTTATGCCATTTATGCTTAGTGTATTACTTTCCCCCTACTCCCTTCTCCCCAAATATACAGCCTGAAGTCTAGTGAAGAGTTATCTGGCTGCATTCAAAATATTTGCACGTTCTTCAGTCTGTCCATCACCAGTTTCTTACTGCTGCCAGTGTTTAGTTCATTCTTTTATATTTAGTCAGATATGAACACTGGATGAAGGATGCCATAAGTGTTTAAGTAATTTTAAAACAAGAACAGAAGTAATTTCATAAGACTGAACCATTTGCACTGCAATGTCTCCCAAACAGGGAGAGAACAAAAGAAACAGCGTCTACAAACTCAATAGTTCCAGATTTGTTGTGGAGCAAAGGTGCAATACTACAATGTGATCATTACCAGCTAGTGTTTAGTTTCAAAAATTTTTCAGGAGTAGTATAGTGAACAAGTGATAAGCCCTCAAGAGTTAAAAGTCCTCCTTCCTATTATTTGTTCAGATGAAAATCACAGAAGAGGATCTATGGATTAGGACATATGCCAGACTATATCAGAAACTTTGTTCTTCTACAGGAGACATTCCAATTGGAGTCTATAGGACAGAATCACAAAAGCTTACAACGTCTGAGGTATGTCAGTTTACTATACTTTTCTTTGGATTTGATTACAGAGTATGCAACATTCTTTGGTCCTCATAAGAATGGGAACCAGTTATTTAAAGAATATTGTGAATGTCATATCTGCAAATGCACAGAATTCTAATAACCCACTGAAGGTCTCCCTCTGCTGATGCATATATGGTCACATTAACTCAGGGCTCACATTCAGCCCCAGACTTCATGAATACCCAGAGCCAGTCTACATACTGGCTTTCATTCCTGTGCTCGCCTATAGAGAACTGTCTGATTGAAAACAAGGGGCAGCTCAGGCACAGATAGGACAGGCTAGGATAGTTAGCTCTAATCTGAACTTGCATGTGGTGACTAATGGCAGTATCCATTACAAGCTGTATGACCAGGTCCTGTATTCAGGTGTGACAAGAATGTCAACACTATATTTCAAAACAAGTGGCATTTCAGTATTCATGTGAATTTCTAACTAGAAATGAGCAACAAGATAATAAATTAATGTTATCAGAAGTATTGTGGGAGTTCTCGAAATTTAACTGCCAAACAATGTTCATTTTTTTGTATGTATGTATTTATGTGTCTGCCATATAAATGCATACATTTCTCCCTGTATATATATGTGTGTGTGTAAAGGACAAAAATACTTTTTCCTGACTATTTAACATACATTTTTGTTTGTGCAGCTTTTATTTCTGTCATAAGCCATTTGTTTACATGATCATTAATACTGCCATCTCATTAAACCATGGCTCAAATACAACTCTAAAATGCAACAGTGAACAACAACTTTCTCCTTTCTTCTGAAATACTCAGACATAGTTTATTGATTTCCAGGACAGACAAATTTGTATTTTCTCTTCCATATTTCAAAAAATGTTATAAAACATTAAGACATGCAATGCTTAACTGCAAGATTTATCTTGAAGGAAGTACAAACATTCAGTTAAAGTTAGTTTAAAAATAAGGGTTACAAAAACCTATGCAAGATTCCACCAATTTCACTAGTGTCTCTTTGTGGACCACCAATACCTCTATAGGTGGCTTTTACAGCTTAGCCAGTGGACTGTGCCACTGCAATAATGTCAGCTGATTTTTTTTTTCAATATAACAGCATTAACATAATCTATCAATATTATTCCTTGGAGAAGAATATAGGTGGCATCACCGCTAATATGAAAAAAAGTCTGTCATAGCTTTCAACAAAACAGAGGACATGCCAGATTTTAAGAATTCATTAAATAAGGATAAGTAAGATAGAATTCATGGCACTGCTTTATTCTCACATTCACAGCTGGCTATTTAACTTCAGGTCCAAATAAGAGAATCAAGAACAGTTGAACTGTGAGCATACAACCTATTGTGAAGAGTGCATTTTTGTGGCCTGTTTTTTTTTCCTTTCTGCATTTTCACATGCTTTCAAACATACAGGCTGACTGTCAAACAACATCTGTATAGGCGAGGGGTAACTATAAGAGTAACACTCATCTTTTCTACATGAACTTTTTTTTTGGCAGGGGGGTGAGGGCTAAGCATACACACTCAAGTCTTCTGAGGCAAGCTTAACTGATAAATTAAAGATCTTTCAAATGTTTTTCTGAAAATAAGGTTTGGGACCATCAGTCACTTAACTCTGAACTCACAATTTTACTATAACATTGGGAACCTCCGAAGCCTGTGCACATGCAGCTGCTCAAGTGCTTGATCGGACCAGGCCCAGATTTAGTTTAAGATAGTTATTGATTATCTTTTACAAAGAAGCAATTTCTTAAAACATTCAGACACTGAAACGAGCCTGGAAGCCACTGTCCAATAGATAAGAGGAATTCTGCTGTTACTTCCTACCAGCTTTCAAACTCTTCATGAGATTACCTGTGAGTTAAATCAGGTAGAGGAAGAAGGTGGCGGGGAGGGGCAGGAAAATCTAGTTAAGTTTTCAAATTGTTAAGTACTGAACTAATGTGGAAGAGTGGCACTGTCTTTATTTATTAAGTGAAGTAAAAGCATTTGTTACTCTTTTTAAAAAGCTCAAGGCTCTGAACACAGCCTCCCAGTGGTATTTTCACACTTAAATACTTCAGAGTTTCTTGTCTGGTGGGTGAGCATTTGTGAAACCCCTCCCCCTACTAGAGGCAGGCAGGGGAATCCTCCCTAACCTAGCTCTTCCCCAGAATACCAAAGAGCAACATCTGGCTCTGCTTCTGTGGTCTTTATGGGTAGATACCTACAAATGCCGAGATGCTGAAAGCTGCAATCTTTCTGCAAAGTGTTTCTTTTGAAGTTAAAGGAATTTTCGACTAATTTCACTAATAAAATAATATTAGCGTGGGCTATCATTTTAGCTTTTCAATATATTAAGCCAGAAACAACTTTAAAATATTGTTGGATGAGATCTTTAAAATGGAGGTTAGAGAAATGTAAATTGCTATTTTTCTCAGGAATTATGAACTTCATAATTTGAAGGTTTCTAACTCGGAGAACCTCCAATGTGTATATCAATTTGAGTTTAAACAGACATATAAAACTTAATTTGTATTGCACACACCTGGAAGCTGTCAGTTAATGGTTAACTTGAGTCACAAGAACAAAATATGCCAATATTAATATTTCTATGCGTACGATTTCTCATTTGACACCCCCTTTTTGTACTATGCAAACGAGAAGCCCTCACTTCACTCTGACAGATAAATATAATTCCTTTGAAAAAAGGAAGCAAGTTCTCAGTGATCTAGTTACTAAATAACAAGCAAATCTGGGCTGCCTCTCAATGACCTGCACCTGTGACTCAAACTATTTCCATTTCATTAAAAAAAAAAAAAAAAAGAGCTATGAAGTCCTCCTTACTACCCATGTAGCTGATTTTCTGTGGTTCCTGTTAAACAGTCCATGTTGATTTCTTTAGATTCACTTCTGTTTAAAATGTCTTTTGTTTTCTTTTTCCCCTTCCTTTGTCAGTCACGAGAAACGGCTTCACAAGTAAGTATTTGCTTATTGTCTGCCTGTTTCTGGGTGTAGTGGTTTAACCCCAGTAGGCAGTAAGCACCACACAGCCGCTCGCTTGCTCGCTCCCCACCAGTGGGATGGGGGAGAGAATCAGAAGGGTAAAAGTGACACAACTTGGGGGTTGAGATAAAGACAGTTTAATAGATAAAGCAAAAGCTGCATGTGCAAGCAAAGCAAAATAAGGAATTCAGTCATTACTTCCCATCAGCAGGCAGGTGTTTAGCCATTTCCAGGAAAGCAGGGCTCCATCACACATACTTAGGAAGACAAATGCCATAACTCTGCAAGTCCCCCCATTCCTTGATCTTCCTCCAGCTTTTATTGCTGAACACGGTGCCATATGGCATAGGATATCCCTTTGGACAGTTTGGGTCAGCTGTCCTGGCTGTATCCCCTCCCAAGTTCTTGTGCAGCCCCCCAGCCTGTTCACCGGCAAGGCACTGTGAGAAGCAGAAAAGGCCTTGTCTCTGTGTAAGCACTGCTCAGCAATAACAAAAACATCCCTGTGTTATCAACACCGTTTTCATCACAAATCCAAAACATAGCCCCATACAAGCTACTATGAAGAAATTTAACTGATCTCAGCCAAAAACAGTACACTGGGTTAAACCCTGGGAGTAGAATCCTTACAGGAAATGGAACTATGCAGTGGATCATCCTTAAGTAAATAAGCTTAAAGCAACATTGTTCTGGATACAAACGTCTTATTAAAAGTCTGAAAGCTGACAGACTGGGGCTTTCAAAAAAGTTCAATGGAATTTGGTCCCTATTGGGCCTGTCCCTATTGAATTCTGAAGATAACAGATCATCTTTACAGTCTGGTGAGAGCCTTGATCCTAAACACCTTAAATGCTAATGGACAAAAATCCCCAAGTTTATCAGAAAAGGAATACTTAACAATAGACAGCTGTTGGAGCAGAAAAGAATTCCTAGAACCCTAGATGCAATTAAGGGCTATTGGTATACAGAACAGTAAAGTTATTTTACCATAAAACTTGCAGTTAGATAAAAATAAGGCATCACTTCAGAATAGAATAGATTAATCTGCACATTAAAACTGTTTCATATTTTTTCACACTTAGCTCCCAGGGAGCAGCAAGGCAAGGGAACAAAGATCCAAGAAACTAACTGATGTTTGGTATTGTAGTGCTGTTACCACCATACTCACAACCACCCTGACCATCTCAAATATGAACACTGGTGTGTTTGTGACTACATTCCTGTTCCTGCCACGTGTTGGCTAACCTGAGCTAGTGTTTAAATAAGGGTGTGAAATATCCTATTGGAGCACCTTGGCTGAGTGGAAAAACCCCTGTGGGTCACAGAGTTCACAAGTCAGCAATCACACTCATTTGGTCACACAGTCTGATACTTGAGATGGGAACCTGCCTTTACAAAAAAACCAAAACACCTGAAACTTTAAAAAAAAAGGTTTAAAGGCAAACATTTCTTCACTTTATGTGCAACATGCAGATTTTTCCCCAGTAAAAGTAGCAGTGATTATGTAAAGACTTAACATACACCTTGGTATTTTCCAGAGATTTTACCATGCTTCTATTTTAAGGAATCTCAAAAAAGATATATACACTTCATAAAACATAAGATGATCAATTACTACTATATAGTAGTAGTGACACCATATCATCAGTTATGCTTCTCATACAGCAGGTTTACAAGCTATGCAAAAAGAAAATTAAATGAAAAGAAATTAAAGCAACCAAACCTCAAAATAAATCAATGATAGTTACAAAAGTATTTTTAAAGAAACTTTGAGACTGATTAAAACAGAGAGGGACACGCAGAAGTACTCTGCACTGGGCTTTTATCTTTTATGTATTAAACAGCTGCCACTGGCAGGCACACTTTTGCGCTGCCTTTGAAAGAGGGTTTCGGTTTCTTTGGTTTTGCTTTGTCTTTAAACAGTTTAATTTTTTCCTCCTGCATACAGGAGGAAAAAAAAAAAAAACCAAAAAACCAAAACACACTAGAGATGCCAGGGG